AATCCCAGACCGAGGAAAGGTCAGCATTTTTCGACAATAACGTTTTTTTTTTTGATCCGGAAAAAGCTTCTTTTGATACCTAAAAAGTTTTTTTTGATCTGGAACTGAAAGTTTTTTTTGATCCTTAAAAAAGTTGTTTTTGATTGCCTTTCCATCATTGATGCCCATACTCCTTGAACCAGACCACACCTTTTACCAAAGACCTCGCCTTGACGAGCGACTGAAAGACTTCAGGGTTTAGGGTTTAGGGTGATTTCTTTTTTGAGGGCTTCGTAGGGTTTTGGGTGTAGGTTTTGTTTTCCGCATGCAGGCTGGGATGCAGACGAGTGGGAGCAAACGTGATCAGACGACAAGGACGCCCAAAACACTGCAGGCATGACTGACAGATAGACAGAGCCCAGCGTTCATGGCACTCGTGACGCTAAAGATGAGAAGAAGCAGTATGTGGACTGCCGACTCGGACATCCTCCCAGATTCTTGCAGTCTGAAGGGACAAGCACCAGACTAAGTGCCATTGCTCCTTCAGATCAGCACGAACATCCAAACTTCTGACTCGGGAGGGTTCAGGCATCACGAAGCAGTACCTGGAGAGCTAGACAGCGTCCCGAGGACCAAAGAGGTGAGGGTCAGAAAGAGCCTTCGTGAAAAGCGGTTGAAAAATTGCCCCGCCTTGCAGCAGTGTTGCTTTAGTTTGCGCTACGGTTTGCCGATGTGACAAGCCAAGGCTTGGCAGCAGTTGGCGGAGCTGACAACGGAGTGCACCACCCAGGAGCTCGATTCGCGAGGCAGCATGTTGGGGTTTCGAAAGCCTCCTGAGATCCAGGCTGGCCGATTTCAGTCCATGAGCTCAAGGTGCCATTGCCTAGGCAGGGCACAACTGACAGTGAAACGCCTTAAAACCTGCGCATGAATTGAAAGGCTGAATGTGTCCATGCGTCTGCTGGAAGCTGCCGACAGCCAGGAGGTCGAAATGGCGCCGCATTGTCCAGCATGCCACTTCACACTCCTTGGCAAGGCAACGCGTAGCTTTAAGGAGCTCGGCCACGATGACCCATTCGGTTCCAAGGCATCTCATGCTTAGGCATTTGCTGCTTTGCCGCAGAAACTCCTCGAGCGTTGGAGGCCTGGCCTTCTGCCTACCTTGTCGCCGACAGGCGCAAAGTCATGGCGCCTCATGCTGCGACTGCAAGCACAAGCTACAGAGCAAGTTGCAGAGCAAGTCGTGGACGCTGCAAAAGCTGCTGGCAGGCTGCTGGCGGAAAATCTTCGCGGCCGTTCGGTGGCCGTGAGATGGACCTTGTTCTATAAAGAACACTCTGTATGCCAGGTGCTGGAACTCGGCTGCGGAACTGGCTTGGTGGCGATAGCTGCACTCATAGGTCTGCTTGGCAGCTCATAGAGGGATTGCTGTGCCTCCAGCCATCCCATCTCATCCCAACTTAGAGGCGGGGCGCAGCTTGTGCTCGCAACAGACAGGGCCCAGTTGCCTGCAGCTCAGCATGTTCCTGTTCTGGATGCGTGGATGGTTGCATGATATTGCATATTTTGCACGTCGTTGCCAGGAACGTGGAGTCTGCACAGCAATCCGCCCAGCTGAATGGCGTGCATTTGCAGGGGCAGGCCTCATTGATCCAAAAACCTTCAGGATTGGTTAATTTGGTCCCCGCCACCAGGTCTTTGACGCAACTTCCGAGGAAGCTTTGCCGCGCACTCATGACATTAGGGACATTTCAGAAATATCCGTGATGCCTGAAGTGAGGCCTGCAACAAGTGCGGGCAAAAAGTTTGACTATGTGGCCGTGAACCGGACTCAGACGGGCTGTCATCTTCTCCTTCAATCTCCAGTCTCAGGTCTTTGCTGATGTGTTGTACTGGCCTGCAGAGGCCTCCTCGGCATGTGGTGCACACTGAAAGCAGAGTGCATGAACTGCGCTTCGGCACTACTTGTAACCTTCACAGGCGGCAGCTTTTGGGCGCCGGGCGGCAGAAGCGTATGCCAAGGGGCGCGGAGCTCACGGAAAAAAATCGTGATCATGAGCATCTTCAGTCAAGCCATGTCAAGCCTCACAGGTCCACCGTCATCATGGCAGACCCTGGGCGCCGGCGTGAAGAGTTTCTAGGCCTTCTACACAAACATCACGGGTTTGCCTCAGAGCTGTCGACGTTAGGAGGGCTGCGGTCTGAGCTGGCACTCTGCCTTGATGCGGGCTCAGAGTCGAGTCAAATCACAAAGATATGTGCAGATGGGCTTCAACTCCCAGGGAGAAGCGCCTTTGCCGAAGATCCACCCTGAGCCGACCCGGTTCCCTGAACACGCGGCCGCCTCAAACGGATCCGGCGCTGGCCTCCCTCCCTCCCTTCAGTCTGTGAACGAAACAGGTGTTTAATTGGGTGTGCGAGGAGGCAAAGGGGAGACGGACAGTTTTTGTACCTATGAAGCATTGCTTATTCCTCCTGCAGGTCCGCGCCGCGTCCTCCTTGTTCTGTCAGGACCAAGACAAGATTACTGACAGGATCCAAGTTCTCAGCAGCTTGCTTGCATCAGCTTGCTTGCATCAGAGGACCCTTTCATCTTGGTCCTGCGACCTCCACACATTCTGCGCAAGGCGCCAATCCGGCAGAAGCTTTGGAAACCTTGGCAGGTGGGCAGTTTGATGTTGCAGGTGCTCCACTACGAAAAGGTCGATTAGGTGGGAAGGTGGACTCTGCTGATCAGCGTGCAAGACCAAAGTTGTCCTCGCAGGCTTCCTCCAAAAAGAAGGTCACGTGGCTGTACAGCTCATCAACGCTGGGTAGCAAAAAAACTTGAGTTCCTCAGCATGCCCAGCAAGTGGTGGATTGTGACATGCGATGCGATCTTGTGCCGTTGCTCAGACTCATTGTGCAGGGAAAGGCTCCGGGCCGAAGCAACCTATCCAAAGCCGACTGAGGCTTTGGGGGGGGAGTGAGGTAGAAGTGAACTTTAAGTGTGCTTCAAGGGGCTTCGACTTCCTGCATGAGCCTGGAACCCCGAGGACATGAAGCAGCTCATTTCCAAAGTCAGGCTGCCGGAGAAGAGCAGAGTAAAGAAGCAGGCTGTGCTGTGCCAATGCAACTCCCATCTCCACACTATCGATTCGTCGAAGTGCTCTGCCAGTTCAAAGCCAAGATGGCAAAGCAACTGACTCTGATGAAGTACACAGCGGAGGCTGAGGCACTTTGACGGCATGATTTAGCTAGTGCAATCAACCTCAGTGCTGTCTTCAGCTTGAAGCGGAAGTGCTTCGTACAGGCTGCACGACAGGAGGAGATCGACCCGGAATTAGTCAACGAGGGTCCATCAATGCAGGCACCTGCAACCTGTCAGTCGCTGTGCTTCATATGATATGCCCTGAGTTGGATAAAGCGCAGGACATCTTGGATGCCAACAACTGAGCGCTTTGACCCTGACCCATTTGGCGCGCGCTGTCGGTGGACCTCAGAGCTGCCAATCAAGACCAAGTTGGTGATGAGACTCGGGCCGCCTGTGCTGCTCGAGTCCTAGGGAAGTGCAGCGGATGTGCCCCAGCTGCTTCCAGGCTGCATTGCTTGAGGAGGAGGCCAGCTCAGAAGCTCGATTGGCGCGGGCGGAAGGAAGCAGAAATCAGAGCCGCGTGCCCGTTGCATCCCGTTGCCTTTGCTTATTGCAAGTGCGATTCAGCCTGCAGCTGGCCTGCAAAGCACGTGAGCCGACATGATCTCTGATGCTTGGCTCGCATGGCAAGCTGACGCTTGGCATCCTGCGACCAGTTCAAGCCGACCGTGCGGAGGAAGGTGTGGTGCGCAGCATTCGGTGTAAGCTGGCTGTAGGCACTGAGCTTACAGGTGCAATGCCTCTCCACAGCACCCATGTCTTTGCAAGCATCGTGGCTGCACACAGCAAGGCGTTGTCGTTGGAAATGATTGGAACATCATTCGAGTGAGCATGAGGTCACATCGGCCATACTGGCAAGACCACGCTGGCATATCAGATGCTGATGTCTAAAATTTCGATCTATGCTTCAGCTTGACTCTTGAGGCACCCAAGCTGACTTGAGGTCTACTTTCTATGCTAGCAAGCATCCAGACGCCTGTGCCTGGGTCTCAGTCCAAAGCCGGCAGCTGCCGAGTAGTTTTCAGTCAGATGAGGATTGCGGACCTGAATTCGGCCAGGTTTTGATTATGGACCTCGCGGAAGAGGGCGCCAGCTCCCAAAAGTTTCATGCAGATGCAGTCTTGTTGCCAAAGAACTCATGCTTCAGGCATTCGCGCACTGCTGAGCTCTGAGGACCTCACAAAGCGATTACTCGGCGGAGTGGACGCCGCAGGGCGAAAGGCGGACACAACAGAGGAGAGGGTCACGCACACATGTCGAGCCTGCAATTGGCAGGTTGAGTCGCTGTACCGCCCTAAGATTTCCGTCGCTTGCCTGCGTTTCCGGCACTTTGGAGCTCAGGTTTGGCGGCGTGTTTAGGCTCCTCCAAGCAGCAGCACCTGCCCAAGCTGTCTGAAAAGCCCGCAAGTTCCAGCTTTGAAGCCAGAGCTGGAGATCCAACAGGAGAAACGGCCATCCGGCCTCACCAGCTGGCTTTGGTCGTCGACCTTCGATGCGAGAGGCTCAGCTACCTGATGCATCCCCACTGCATTTGAATCCCTCCTTGAAAGGCCCAAGTGCCAAGTGCAGTTTTAGCAGCGCGAGGTCATGGAGCATGCAGTCAAACTGAAGGATCACAATCCTGCCGTTGGACACCCAGTGCATTGAGTGCATTCCTCCACAAATGGCCTGCCTTCAGAGTTTCTGCTCAGCTCCCTGACAACCTCTACCTCATCTCCAGTGGCGCATGGTAGAAGCCCTCAGAGACGGATTTGAACAACTTGTGTCAAAGCAGGTATTGCTTAATGCTTGGTGTCGAACTGTGTTGGATTCAGAGGCCACGAGCAGAAGCTCCCATGAGTGACGATGCCTGTTCCTGATCTTCTGCAAATGCGCGCACGAATTTCTGCCATTCGAATCAAGCCGAGCAGGTCAGGAAGCAAGTTTGCGAAAGAATACGCGACTCCCTCAACACGTGCGCCCTCCAAAGACTGACATGGACAGGATGTGAGAGACCAGGGCTCCATCAACATTGTGACGTTTGTATCAGCTTCTGCATTTGTACCAAAGCTAGCTTGAGCTAGGAAACGTGCCAGGGAACATGCCTTGCGCCAGGTCCACTGCAACATGGAAGTTGTGGCTTGTTGGCAATTTTCCAGCAGAAGCCTATAATGCATAGGCTTTGAGGCAAGATTGGCCTGAGGTTTTGCGACACAGATGGTGACCGTCGGCCATCGCCTGGCGCCCAAAAATTGTGGACGCTCAGTGGGCCTCGGCCAAATTTTCTGTGGATGTCGCTTTGCACGTCCCCAACCTTGTCCAGGCCCTACACGATGTTGGCCTATGGCCTATGCGATGAGGACATCCCTTGGTAGCAAGTCACGAAAGCTAGTTTGCTGGCTTGAGCTCTCTCTTGCTTAGCAGTACAGGGCAGACAAGGTCTAGAAAACCTCCATGTAGGGGGTGGTCGAAGTTTTATACAAAACGACCACGGGGGGATTTAAAGGACTTCCCGGAAAGTTTGCGATGGTGTTCGCCAAAGGAATCTGGGATTCCGCGAAAGACCTGCGCTGCTTATTGGAGAATACGGTATCCCCCAAACAGCAGCTTGTCAAACATGTGTTCGGTCTCGTGGTTCTTATCCGAAACAATGCGAAAGATCCGCCAAAGATCCGCCCTTCGCCTTGCAAGCAATGGAAGACACTATAGCTTCTGCGTTCGATGACTAGTTTCTGCTTCAAATATGTTCTGCCGAAGTTCGCGACGGTGTTCGCAAAAGGAATCTGGGTTTTCCGCGAAGAGGTCATTTTGGGATGAAATAATTTTGGATAACATAGGATGTGGGGGGAGGTGCAATGTTGATTTGTCCATATGAATCTGAGGTTTTTTTGGCATGTTTAGCGTTGATTCTTCGAGAGGAATCCACAGCCTTGGAGGCTAGCATTGATTTTTTCAATAATGACTACCGTAAACGATTTGCTCATTCATAAGTAACCGCTAACACGGGACCGCCTTGGCAAGGGTAGAGGTGCAGGGCCACCAACCCCCGCCGAACCCAGGCCCCCGTTCGATCCCGTTCGTGCCTACTAAAAAGAGCACACGAGGCCAGGATCAGCAGCAAACATCGCTTCTCTCCCCTCTCGAGCCACGGGGGCCCTGCAGCTCAGATCCACGCCATTGGCGGATATGTTCGTGATGGGTTACTTGATTTGCGTGCGAATTCTCTGCACATGAAATTTGTTAGGCCATGGCACAAGCATGCACAAGCAACGTCATCCCTTCAGAACCGAACCCTGTCATTAGTGTTCCCATTGAAGTACTCATCACGCTTTATTGTTGCTTCAAACCTCTCTAGTCTTTCAATAGCGTTCTGTACCCTTTTACGTCAAGATACGAAGATCATGCTTGGCTGTTATTTCAAACCTCCCCATTCTTTCTGTAGAGCGGGAACTAATGACACGGGTTCTGGGGGCCGCATCTATTTTCCTACCCCTGTGGTGTTCACCACCGCATGGTTGTGGTACGAGTGACATTAGGCTTGGTGGTTGCATCCAACCTCCCTACTCTCTCTGCAGTGTTCCAGGCCCTGGCAAGATCATGATGCGAATAGCATGATGCTGGTGGTGTCTTCAGGCGTCCCTGCTCCCCTGTGCAGTTAGTGTTCACAGCCCTTGCGAACGGCATGCCGGGTGATTGCAATGAACCTTCCTTCCCATGCTGTCGTGTTCCATACCTTTTCAAGGTCTTGGTTCAAGCCACTTCGTGCTTCATTTGACACCTCGCTACTCCTGTAGTGTTCACGACCCTGCCCAAGCATGGTCATGGCAGGAATAACCTTAGGCTAGACGGTTGCATCAAAACCTCCCTACTCCTTGTTTATTGGTGCCTCTACCCTTGAATGGTCATCTTAGCAGACACATCACGCCTGGTCATTGTATTTAGCCTCTCTCCTCCTCTCGCAGTGTTCACTTCCCTTGCGTGATAATCCGTACAGTAACCTCATGCCTGGTGGTTGCATCAGCTCCTTTGGTACCCCTTTTGTTGTCATGGTTCGGGTGACATTCTGTTTGGTGGTTCGTCTCTGTTGGTAGTGCTGACTACCCCTGTGCGTTCATGCTATCATAAATAACATCATGCATGGTTGTTGCAAGCAACCTGTCTTTTCTTTGAGACACTGCTTGTGGGTGCATCACGTCTCTCTACGATGGGCAGCGGTACGCGCACTGAATTGTCATTGTACCCAAATCATCATGCGTGGTGGCTTGTTTGTTGCATCAGGCCCCAATTTAGTGTTCACCACCCTTGTGTGGTCCTGATACGAACCATATCATGCTTTCTGGTTGCATCAAACCTGCCTCCTCTCCTGCAGCGTTCACTACCTTTGCGTGGTCAGGGTACAAAGAACCTTCTACCTGGTGCTTGCATGGAGCCTCCCTGCTTTTTCTGTTGTGTTCAGGACCTTCGCAAGGTCATGATTTTCACAGCCTCGCGTTGATGATAGCATCAAATCTCCTTCTCTCCTCCGTAGTGTTTACTACCCTTGCAAGGTCATGGTGCGGGTAACGCCATGATGGTTGTTTGCATCAAACTTCCCTATTCACTCATATTCATACGCAGTGTTCGCTACTCTTGGGTGGCCACGTTACGAGCAAGTCAATGCGTCGAATTTCCCTCGCTCCCTCTGTAGCGTTCGTTGCCCTACTTTCGTAGTCAGTGGTCTTCTTTCAGCATGAATCAAATCGCATCTTCTTGGTGCATCAAACCTTTTGACTCCACCGGGTAACCACACTGATTAATGACTCTTGGTCAAGGTGCGAGAAACATCATGCCTGGCGGGTCTTGCTGGCTTTGACTGGACCTTCCTTAAGCGTTCTGTAGTGTTAGATAGCATTGCATGTTCACTATACGCATATCCTGCTGCTTTGTTGCTGCATTAAACCTCCCCTTTCTTTTTGTCGCGTTCCGTACCCTTGCATGGTCATAATACCAAGATCTTGCTTGGTCGTGGCATCAAACCTCCCTCATGTCTCTGCAGTGCTCACTGCCCTTGCATGCCCATAGTCTTCAAGACGTCGGTTCTGGTGGTCACATCTAGCCTTTCCACGCTCAATCTCCCTATTTGATTTGTAGTGTGCTATGCCCCGGCAAGGTTGTGATGCGAAGAACATGATGCGATGGTTTCATCAAACCTCCCTGCTCTCTGCAGTCTTCCGCCTCTGTAGTGGTCACTACCCTGTGTGCAACATCCTGCTCGGTGGTTGCAATGAACCTTCCCATGCTGTCGTGTTCCATACCTTTTCAAGGTCTTGGTTCAAGCCACTTCGTGCTTCATTCGACACCTCGCTACTCCTGTAGTGTTCACGACCCTGCCCAAGCATAGTCATGGCAGGAACAAGCTTGGGCTAGGCGGTTGCATCAAAACCTCCCTACTCCTTGTTTATTGGTGCGTTGTGCATCTAGTCGAGTGGAAAGTGGAGGGGAAATTGGAGACTGGAGCGTCCAGCCTGGAGTGTGCAGAACAGAGTGGGTGGGGAGTGGAGCGTTCAAAGAGGTTGAAAGTGGTGTAGGAGTCACGTGGAGAGTGGCGGGAGGAAAGTGGAGAGTGGGGGAGTGGGTGTGGCAAGTGGAGAGTGAAGTGAAGTATGGAGAAGAAAGTGGAGTGGAAGCGGAGTGCAAAGTGGGGAAAGTGGAATGGTTCGGACGTGAAGTGGACGGTGCGGTGTAAAGTGGATTGGACAGTGGCGTGGACAGTGGATACGGGAATAGGCATAGGCCTCAACAACTAATTTGATCAGGCATCAAGAAAAATTTGCCAAGCATCAAAAAATAATTTGCCAAGCATCGAACAAAATTGAGCTGTGTCTCTTTCCATGTGCCCGGGTATCTGAAACCGGCCATGCAACAACGTGCATATCGTCAAGAACATTAAAGCCCACGTATCTCCACAGTCTCAGGGCCTCTGAGGTCAAGACCAAAAAAAGGAACCTCCCCGTGCACTACAAGTCCAGTGGCCCAGACCTTGGGAGATTTGGTGCACATTGGCCTCAGCGTATGAAATTTCTTGAGCTCCAACTGCCCAATTTGAATGCCACAAGACACGATTGACTGCTCTTGGTAGAGCTCCACGGGTGTCTACGGCCCCCTTCGGCACCACAAGTTTTTCCCATGCAGAGCAAGAAGTCTGAGGATCAGCGCAGTACCAATATACGCAGTATCCATATTCGTATTGTGAGTACTACTATTCCACATTCACTTTAGTTTTGCTCATGTATAGAACAGTGGTCCTCGTGATTTTCTTGACACGTATCAAATTATTGTTCGATACCATCCGCAAGTGTTCATTTTTTCTTGATGTTTAAGGTTCATTCTTTCTAGATGCTTTTTCTTGATCTTGATGCGTCACCTACGGGAATATTGACTGTGCAGCGTGTGGCAGTCTGAATGCTGCGGGGCGTGCAAATTGGAGAGAAGAGAGGAAAGTGGAATGCTGATTGGAGTGGACTGAGCAAGCTTTAGTGAATGCTTTGCAGGCCCCTTCCAGAGGTTTGTGCTTCTTGCTCCCATTTTCCTTCCCTTCTCCGTTGTGCAACAGTGCTTACGCCTGGCTAGCCTCCGTTGGCCTCAGCTCGCCCCTGAAGTGGTGTTAAGAGCTCATCCTTCATTGCAATCTTCGCACGCAACATTTGCAGGCCATTGTGCCACTCCACTTGAACAAAGGTGATTTGGCTCTTGCCCCAGATACTTCAACGCTTGCTTTGAGCATTTGCTCTGTGAGTGGACTCCAAGGACAGAACTGAAACCATGCTGGGAGTCGCGGACTTGGTTTTTTTTGCACATGGCAGATTGGAAAGCCATTGCTTTCGGTTGAGGTCATGCATGAGCTCCGACAACGAGGGGAGATCAGGACCAAGGTGCGAGTGGCAGATCACATTGCAAATTAGACTCTGTACACCTCTGCACGTTCATCCACACATACAGGATCACTGCCTGAAAGTCGTGTTTGAGTGCTCCGGGACCTTGTATTAGTTGTTCAGGTTCTGCTCATCGTGTGGAACTTTGTGAAGGTCCTGAAGGACAGGGCTGCCAATGTGTAGCTGTATGTTGACCAGCGCAAGCAAGCCCTCAGAAAGCTTCGAGCTCGTCGGCTTGTCGTTTGCGAACGCGATATGCATGGCCAGGACGATCCTGTAGAGTATCATGGGATGACGCTGCCTTTTACGCCCACGAAGGCAGCTGCTGTGGAGCTAAGACAAGCTGCATCAATGAGCACTATTCTGCGCTCGACTGGCTTTCAAGACTCTAAGAGCTTACTTTCCGCAATCAAGAACAACTTGAACAAATTATCAGATTTCCCTCAATCAGTCATCCTTGTGATGCTCACCTGCTTCTAAGCTCATCTCCAACTTCAACGTCAATGTAGTCATTCACGAAGGCGATCAGCGAGCTAAACACAAGAAGGTTTCTTCTACTGCTCCGTTTTTGAGTGCTGAATAGAACCGGCTGCAAAGGAGGTGGTCACTTGGCATGAGGTGATCCAAAACAAAGGCAGTGCGAGTCAGTCTAAACCTCGGGCATTCTTCCGACAATGTTCCTGGTGCAAACCTGATGCCTTGCCAGCTGACGCAGCCTGGGGTCCCTTCAAGTACCTCCCAACGGGCGAAAGTGAGAGAAGGGCAGGTCGAACTGCAATGCTTTAGCCTTCGTGTGAATTGCGATGCTTAGCCTTGAGGGTTCATACTATGTCTTCCGGTTGGGGTCTGAATGTCGAAGTCAGCTGTAACTGAGAAACAGCATCAGCAAAGCTTGCCCTCCAAGGAAAACTGCATCTGAATGCTATTTGCATGTCTGGTTGAGGATGTAGACAGGGACAGCCAAGACCAGCCATTTGAGACAGAGCTGCGATAGGCAGTGACGCCCACTAGAGTCCAAATCTCGGGCGCATTTTGACAAGATCCGCCCGAGATGAGCAATGCACTTTGCTTATGCTTGTTTCAGAAGCTGTGATTCGGTCAGCTTGGGTGGGGCGACGGTGGAGCTGCAGATGCTGCAGGTATAGCAGTGCGGAGTCGACATCCTCTGAGAGTGCTTGTCATGCCCGTCTGGGGGGGCTTGCAGAGCTTGCGGACACTTTTAAGTCTTCTGCTCCAAGCCGCTCAGAGCGCGCCGCAGTCCATCCTGTTACGTCTACTCTGATTTGCAGCAGCTGCAACTCGTAGACTTGCAGGTTTGCATGGACATCTTGGAGTCTTGCAACCGTCGCCTGTATAGCAGTGCCACGGACCGCAAGCTGCGATTTCCAGTGCACTTGGAAGGTTTGAAGCTTGCTAGATTCCTTGTAATTGGATGAGAGTTTCGCCGATGTTTGAAGGAGCTTGAGGGCCTGTTTGTGCATGCAGGCGAGTCTGAGGTGCCAACCCTTGTTCCTCCCCTTGCTTAACTACCAACATCTTCCAACCTGCGAAGGGCGACTTCATCAAGAACTCCACAGCAGTGCTCAGGGTCTTGGCAGACAACGCATCTCATCTGCATACAGGGTTCATTCCTAGGCCTAGGGCAAAGGTGATTCTTGCGAGAGTGGCTTCAGAAACCGTGCCAGGTACTCAAACCCTCTGAGGAGCTAGGCGTTCCCGTAGCCGAGACCCCAGCCTGCATCATGAAAACTCGAAGTGAGGTGACGTTGAGCACATTCTAGTAGTCGCTCCTGTTGTGATTCCATTTCCGATGCGCTCATCTCCTTGGCCGTTGGATGCTGTTGGGTATTACTCTCCTGGGTCTTTGGTTTCTCGAGATGTCATGGGGGGGACTCGAAAACTGTGTACGAGTCATGCTCCTGCCGCGGTTGAAATGTTTGTTTCAAGCCTGGCTGGGAGCGGACATCGGAGGAGTTTTGAGAACCAGATTCATATGAAGAGATTTGCAGTAGCACGCATATAAAACCTGCTTTGGATCGCCCGTGATTTCAGAAATGTTGTGCTTGAAGTTGATGTGTTTGCCTGGCTACCTTGACATTGGGAGGCCGCTTTCCATGCTGCAGCTGCCTGTTTTGGATAGTTGCAAAGGTGGAGATGGTGCAGCGGCTCACAGAAAGTGGCAAGAAGACGATGAAGCCTGAAGCTCAGAATGATTCATGTCAGGGCCTGGAATTGCTTGGCCTCCCTATGTTCACCTACCACGGGGCAGCAAAGGTTCCAGAGCGGAGACATAGCCTACGACACCAAGGCCAAGCGAAACAATACTGAAACAATATTACAGCTTAGCACTGAGCAGCCGCCAGGGAGAAACGATCTCGAATGTGATGGACGGCCTGAAGCAGCTAGAAGAGAAGTTTGAGGCACACGCATACCGCTGCATACCTTTCTCCCAAATCCATGCTGGCTTGGCTTGACCCCAGAGACGTTCCACAAAGGCCATGGCGCTAGGCTGAGCCGGGTCTTGCCAATTTGCCAATCTCCGTCTCGGATTCACTTGAAGAAGGTCGGCGAAGCCGCGGTCCTGTGTCTGCAAGCAAGCTGGAAGACCCTGCAAGAACAGAGCCTGTGTCTTCAAGCCGTGCTAAGACTGGCACATTCTACACAAATCAGGGTAGGATTCGTTAGGGCTCAGCACCCAAATGTACAGGAGCGAGTTCTGATGCCTGCTTTGGCTGTAAACGCCACATCCTTCAATTTGAGGATTATGCCTCGTCGCAAAAGTTGAGGAGACTGGCACTCACCCTCTTATTGTCGAAGCAACGCTTGCTCATGCGCCTGTGCACTCGCTGCACTGCTCTGTCTCTCTCTCTCTCTCTCTCTCTCAAAGCGCTTTGCTGCCGTGGCTTTCAGCGTTGTGCATCCTCCGTTCAACGGGGCATTGAGTGCAATTATGCCTAGCAGTCTAGCATCAGAAGTCATAGGGCCAGAGCGAAAAAGGTTGATAGTGCTGTAGGTGTTTCTTATCATGGTCCCTAGGCAATGCTTTTTGGAACCCCCGTAGTCTTCCCACCATCATCATCATCATCCTCATCATTATCATAGGTAGGTTTTATATATATATATACACATATCACCATAGGACCCAGAAGGCCCCCCATTTTTCCAGAAACCCCGGTATGGGTCTAAGTTGGAGTGTCATCCTGGAGTGATAGAAACTTTTGGCTTGCAACGGGCGCTTCACAGCAATGGTCGTGCTCTCTGCAACTCTGGAGGAGTCAGTTAGTAGCGGAATCGATTTGCAGCCTGCCAAAACTCGTAGAGGTTTTTGAATTCCGAGTGGCCACTCGTCATGTTCATCCCTATCTTGTGAAGCCCAGTTCTGCTGTCAGCAAGGAACACCAACGCCTTCCTCCTGGTTCATGGCTGGACAGCAGGTGCACTGCTCCTTGAATCTGCCGACAAGCTCCTCCCTGCTTGTCAATCAGCGAAGACACTCTCGGAGTTGGCAGCTGAAACCAGCGCAAAGGAAGGGCCACTGGCAATCGTTCTGCGATGCTGCAGTGCTTTGGGTTATCTGCACTTTGACCCCCTCTCCAGAGCCTAAAGAGCAGATGCATCAAGGTTTTTTTGGTTGATCTGAATAGGCCAGAGCCCAAAAAAGGAGTGAGATGCTACAGGCGTTTGTTGGCACCAAGGAACTTACACGGCTGCAGACGGAACAGAGCTGCAGGAGCTTTTGTCATGTCTGGGGCCAGCGTCAGAAGCAGGGAAGTGCCTGAGGCAACTTTATTCTCAGGCAAAGCCTCCCTTCCAAATAGCCTCGGATGGGTTCAACTTGTGCTTGGATGCTTGGAAGGACGTCAGGCCCAGCTGGAAGGCTTCCAACAGCAAAGCGCTTGGAATTCTGCTTGATGGTGTTGTGCTGGCGCCACTGCTAACATCACTTACTTACAATGCCAGATGGAACGAGCAGGGGTTGGATATGGGACGAGAGAAGGCCTTCGACAACTTCGAGTTTCGGGCTCTCAGCAAAGCTTCCTGCGAGGTGCTTGGGTCCATGTTCCAGGAACTGGGAATCGGAAGTGTCAACCCAGATGGTGCGGTCTTGCTTTCGGCAAAGGGCCGGCTGGCTTTGCAACCTGTCTGCACAATTGTTTTGTCAATGGCTCAATACGCCTATAAGAAAAGCCTCACATGACTTTGCCACGGCATGCGGGGGGGCTACTGCATTGCCATGTTGGGCCTTATGGAAGCCCTGGCTGGCACATAAATCCCGCATTGGAAGTGCCTGTGTGTGAATCCTGGGCGGCATTGTTTAGATGTGCCTTGGAGACCCGCATGCATGATCCTACAATTGGATATTTCTGACACTCAGAGTCAGACGCAAGCCACTGTCTGCACGGAGGTGTTGTCCCTTAGAACGTGTGTCCTACAGAAGGCCTGTGCGTGCTCAGATGATGTGCATTTGCCGCTGCTCTATAAATCTGTTCTAAGGCAACGTGTGTACTCCTACTACGTTCCCACGTCGTACTCGCCGTTGCTATCCAAGTTCCACGAAGTCTTATACTCCGATCCTGGCTGGGGCTTCGCGGGTGATCTGGATCCAGATGATGGCGAGATACATGTAGATAGAACTCTGAATGTGGTTGGCAGCGGAGCGCAGCATACCACGCTATTCAAAGATCTTCTCGATCATGTGCATAAGGTATTTGACAACGACAAGTTTGAGACTCAGCCGAAGTTCGTAATTGACACGGGCTGCGGCGATGGCCACCTGCTGCATACTATCTATGCGCACGTGAGGGACCAAACCGCAAGAGGCAAGGTCTTGGAAGACCACCCGCTGACCATGATAGGGGTGGACTTCAACGAGAAGGCGCGAGTGGCCACTGCCTGCAATCTGGAGGAGCACAAGGTTCCCCACCGTGTGATCGCCGGAGACATAGGCAAGCCTGCTGCCTTGATGACTCAGCTGAAGCGAAAGAAGGTGGATCCAAGCAAGGCCTTGCATGTTCGATCTTTTCTGGATCATGATCGACCATACATTGCTGCCAAACAGCCGCCGGCAGAAGACAGTGCCGCAGCTGCCTTTGCCATGGCGGAATTAGCAGATTTCGTTCATTTAGACAAGGACGGTGCCCCCATTCCTCCTCTGGAACTGTTTGCCTCACTGGTAGAGCACATGGCTCGCTGGGCAGATGCCTTGCAAGGTTCTCACGGACTGTGCATGCTTGAAGTGATGCAGCTCGATGTGCCAACCACAAAACGTTTCATGAACGACTGTGTGTCGTTTCACTTTGACATTCTTCAAGGCCTCTCCCGACAGTACATGGTCTCCGCGGTGTCATTTGCTATGAGCTGTGCTATGGCAGGGCTTTTTCCAACTGACTTCAAAGCAGTCCAAGCCTACCCAGAACAGGGGCGATATTGTCGGATGCTAAATCAACACCTCGTGCGGAAGCCTTACGTGATTCGCCTGGCAGAGCTTGCGGACCTTCCAAAGCTGGAATGCCTCGAAGAGAAGGCATGGGCTCCGTGTCTGAGAGCCAGTTCTGAAGTGCTGAAATCGCGGCTTCAAAAAGTACCGACTGGCAATTTTGTTTGCGAGGTCGACGGAGAAGTAGTGGCAGTTTTGTACACGCAGCGAATTCCAGCCGTGAGCGCCGTCGACTCGCAGAAGTTCATGGACCTTTCATCCTCGCATGATCCCAAAGGCCGCGTGCTCCAGCTGATCGCCATCAGTGCTGATGCAGATGCGAAAGTTGTTGGAGTTGGGTCGGACCTTCGCTCATTTGCGTTGCTCCTAGCTAAGTTGGATCCGACAGTGGACACTGTAATTGGTGTGACCCGATGCAGCAATTACTCTGCAAAGAATGGGTCAGACATGGCGGGCTATGTGGCTGGTCATGTGCAAGGCAAGCATGCAGATAAGACCCTGGGCTTTCACACAGGATATGGCGCTCATGTGGCACGTCCTGTGCCAGATTTCCGGCCCGAAGATGAGGACAACGAAGGCACCGGCGTGTTAATCCAATATGATGTAAAAAGCTGGACAGCCTCCCACATGGATATCACACCAGCAAACGCTGTTGGCGAGAAGAAGACGCCTGAGAACACGGCCACGGCAGTTGATGTACTGCGGGGGATCTTGGCCGACATGAAGCATCCTGTAAAGGACGAGGACCTTTCGCTAGGCTTTTTCAACCTGGGCATTGACTCATTGGAGATGGTTCGCATTCGCAACCAGCCCCTTGGCTGAGCACTTTTGCCAATGAATGAAGGAAGTGAAGGCAGACGAATCTGACTCCGTACGTGGTGCATGCAAAGTGTCTGCTTACTTCTGTGTCTCGGGTTCCGGGTCGAGAAGTCCAGATGTGTGGCTTCTTTTAGTATTTTGTTTGGGTCGGACTCCTCTGTTTTCTCAGTTCTGGGCAATGTCCATTGCTTGGAGACACTTTTCCAACCTCTTTGCGAGCCTTTAAGTATCGTGCTTGGGATCCTCGTTTCGGAATTTTTCTGTAACAACAAGGCTGTCCACCTGGGCCGGTCGAGAACTTCCCTCCACCTTCTTGCTGGACTTCCCAAGTGTCCAGGAAGCTGCAGCCGAGCTGCAAAGGCAAAAAGGCAAGGACGGCAAAAAGACCTCAGCTTTGGAGGTCATCCGCCAGGTGGAGAACTGCGCCAAACTTTGTGAATCCAGCGCATGATTAGTGAAACCTGCTAGCGTCGAGCCCAAACAAGCCCATGAATCTGGATCGACTTTAAATTGTGCTTAGGCATGGAGCCCTGGAAGATCAGTTGCCCCGCAGGTGATGGCTGATATGCAGCGTCCTCTGTCTGACGACCAGCTCAATTTGGGCTTCTTCGTTCTAGGGATTGACTCTCTAGAGATGATTCGCATCAAGAACAAGTCTCTTGGCAGTAGTACGCAATTACGCTGCAGCTGCAGCCGATCGCCTTTAAGAAGCTCAGCCCGTATCTGAGGCTAAGCCAATGGCTCGGGGAGGAGCTTTCTTCAACATTCCTCTTGGATCATCCCAACGTGCAGGAACTGGCCACAGAGGTGGACAAGTTGGTTTCAAAGCGCCAAAAAAATGGATCTGGAGATGCAGAAGCCAATTCAGAGCCAACCATCCTCGATGTGGACTTGCTACTTCAGGCTGGATCTGAAAGTGCCAGGGTGTGGAGAGCCTTTGCGCGACCAAGTCTACCTACATGCCTGGCAGGTGCAGGAGAAGCTCAAAAAGGCTTACTCACTGTCCCAGAACCAGAAGAAAATGGCGGCCCTTGTCGCCAAGCATTCTGATGACAAGGCTGCCTATGCCAAGGCCCTGGAGCCTCTCCTTGCAGAAGTTGAGGCCAGGAAAGTATTATCAGCCATGGGAATGAAGCAGCTGTTGCATGCTTGTGTCAGCGCATTGGAGCATGAACGGTCGATGTAGGTGGAGGTTACTCACTCTACGATACTCTACGCTTCAGCCGTCTCCGAATATTACCTTCATATGTCTTCCGTCACATAGCTAGTCCTGGTTATCTGAGGGGCAAAGATCTGGAATCCGGATTCAGTTCGTGTGACTTTCTGTACTCACATGTAAGATAAAGTCTAGATGATTGAAGCGTTTCTGCTGGTCTTTACCATCGTGGTTTCTGATGCGGCAAGTTTCCTTGTCAGGCATATTACAGAATGCTAGAATCAGTGAGTGGAATAGAGGCAGTGCATGACAAAGTCCCTTCCCTGTAGAGTTGTCTAGATGCACTCTTCCGTCATGCTTAAACAAGCTAAGCTGAATATGCTGCAGAAGTTTGCAAGGGCTCCGTCCTGGTGAGCCTTGGCATCATTGACGACTTGCAGGCCGCAAATCTTCAGAAAGGCCGCAAACTCCTCGCACTGAGCACAAGGAGGCTCCGTAGGAAGGAGGAGGTGGCCAAAAACGAACAGGAGAGACTTGCTGCTAGAATCGGATGGGGTCTCTTCTACCCGTAAAAAAGGGAGCCCTTCTACCCGGAGAAAATAGGTGTTGATAGGGACTACCTGACTGGACGCAGCCACGCAATCCAAGGCTTTGATCCCGAATACCTAAACCTAATCCTGCTCCAACCACCCCAGCGAGTCTAGTTACATAGGAGCGTCAACCGGTCAAAAACAACTTCGGAACAGTGTTCGAATTGATATGCACACCTTGAACTATTCAAATAAGTTCTGGGCAATTACTTCGGAAGCTGCAGGCATTCATTAAGCCAATCTTTCTGCCCTAGAGTAGCTTCCATTTCCGTTCTTTCATCAACTTGAGAGGATCATGCTAATGTCCGTGTCCGTTTGCAACCCCCTAAACAAGCGCAGACCCTAAAGAACCCCAAGCCTGAAACGCTAAACAGCCAGAAAACCTGAAGCCTCAACAAGCCGAAATCCTAAACCCAAAAAGAGCCCAAAACCTGAAACCCTGATGAAGCCCAGACCCCAAACACTAAATCCTAAACCCTCAACGTCCTTCAACCCAAAAACAAACTGCAACCCTAAACCCTAAAGAACCCTAAACCCTAAACAACTACTAACCCTAAACCCTAGACAGCCCCGAACCCTCAACAACCCTAAACAACCACACTAGACCTAAGCTCTAGGCCCTCAACAGCCCTAAATCCGAAACCACCTCAAAGCCTTTAAACCCGAAACAGCGCCAAGCCCTGAACCCGAGACAACCTCAAAGCCCTGAGCCCTAAACCCAAACAGCCCTGAGCCCTAAACAGCCCTAGACTCTAAACCAGCCCAAACCTTAGATACCCCCAAAAGTTAAATTTCGAAGAACTCCAAACCCCTACACACCCCCAGATCCTAAATCTTTTTACAGGAAGCATTAGCAGGCACAGTATTTGGTGGAAATGGGCGAGAGTGACCGTAGTTTTTTGGGCGAATGCCCCTGTGTATGCTCGAAAGCGAACTTTTTTCCTTGCAGGAGGTAATGGCTCTGGTGAAGCTAGGAGACTGAAGTCGACGAGTTGCTTGCATCGATCTGCCCATTCTTGAAATTTGCTTGGCAAGTTTTTCTTTTGTACAGACTCACATCGCTCCACTGATCAATGCTGTGCAATGTTCAGCTATGATCTGGAAATTTTGCTCACCACCCGCCATCGTGCAGCAAAGCAGAGTTCAGAGGCTGAGTAACCTGACTGCCTAGCTCGAGTGCTTCCTCGGCCACTGGCCACAGAGAACTTGAATCTCCCTTGGGAGGAGGGGAGTGCTCCATGGGACTAAATGGGATAGACGGAGATGGACGAAGAGCAGGCCTGCAGTGCCTGTAGTGCCTGCAGGACTTGCCATGGCGCAGTCCCTCATTGGCGTAATGCTCCCGCAGTGTACTGGATCAAGGAGAAAGCTTTGACAAAACCTTTCGCAGCGTCGCATGTTTTGCAGCAGAACATCCTTGGCTAAGAAGCTTCAGTGCAAAGCAACAAAAGTCTCCCGTCAAGCCAGCACTAAACAACCCGTTGCAGCCAAATCAAACTATCCAACGGCTGTCCACAAAAAGTAGGCACTTCACATCAATAGATCGGCTGCATGCACTTGTCGTCACGCGCGCTAATCGTGCAATAGTCGGCAGAAAATCTGCCATGCTTCCTGATGGACAGCTGGAATCAGTCTTGGACTGTGGACAGCTGGCAGCACCCGCGTTCATGCCTTAAAGTCTGTGCATCAGCAGATGTACTTTGAGTTTACGTGCAGTGTACCTCAAATTGTTTGTTGGAACTGGTGGAAGTACCGTGAACATTTCCGCTTGCTCAAAGTCATGGCCCAAGGGTATCGCGGCCACGGCTACGCTCAGCGGGCCTGGAGGCACGACGGATACAAGGACCGACCTCGTAGCATTTCTATTTCATAGCAGCTTTACTTGTCAAGGTCTCAGGGTCTCGTGTCAGCCTAACGTGCGGGCCGGAAGCGAGCTTTGCAGTGGTGCTGATTGTGAGGTTTTGGTTGATATTCCATCATCTGGCATGGGGGCCCTGGTCATGCACAAACTTGAAGCTTTCAGAGGATGAGCGCGCAGCGACTCTTTCACGGCTGGGATCCCTGGCTACACTTTCACGCAATTCCTCGTTCAAGAGCTGACATATGCTGACGTCAGGGGTTGGTGGCAGTCATCAAGCTCCAGACAATATGGCTGGGAGGAGAAATGCTTGCCGCAAGAAACAGGAGGAGCGCTGAAAGCCGTAATAAAGCTGGAGGAGTTTCGTAGCCAAAGCATTCCCCCGCCACCCAGGCCGAGGTGGGTTACCAGGTTTCAAACGCTGCAGACTGCAAAAGCCCTTTCAGCAGCAGCCGAGACTCCAAGGCAGCAGCTTCGAGTCCCCCAATTGGACCTCCAAGGACAAGATCGAGGTCACCTCCTGGAGGTGCTGCCTTGGAGAAAGAAATGAAGCACAACGTTTTTCTCCCACTTCAGACTGGCGGAGGTCTTGGCACTTTTCGGTGCAGTCTATCTGTCCCCCGGTTGGGAGCATGCTCTCCACTCAGGCTCAACAGGGCCTGTAGCCATAACACGCCTTCACGGTCTTTTGAGGTCGGCACAAGCGAAGAAGCCGAAGCGTCATTCAGGCAAGTCTTTGGGCATGCTCAGATGCTTACTATAGGCTAAGATCACCTGGGGATGCATGCAGAGCGGCTCATGTGTCAAGGCCCGAGTACGACAAATGGTATGACTTGATGCTGGAGGCATAGATTATTCCCCGGCGAGCGGCCTTTGCAGATGTGGAAATAAAAGTATGGGGAGATACACAGCAGCAAAGATAGATAGATAGATACCGTTGTTGCCAGGTGGGCCAGGAATTAAGGGGTTGAAAAGGGGTGGACGGGCACGGGTCTACGTCCGCCAGGACCATGTCCACGTCAAACACACAGATAGGCAGGCAGAGGTCAGAAGGTGGGGGGACGGGGCTGTGTGAGGGGGTCTTCGGCACGTAGATCGAGGGAGGGTTGGGCGGGTGGGAGAGCATGAGGTGTGATGGGCGAGGGGGAGGGGGGAGTGGAGAAGGAGGAGAGTGGGAAAGGGTGCAGACAGCAGGTTTTGTCTACAGCTTCGCATTATAGTTGTGTTTCCGAGCTTCAGCTTCATGGAGTGCCGTAGTGTATGTGGCTCAGTTGGAGTCAACTTTTGAACACGCATTCCAAATCTACATCGACATGTGTTGTAGTAGGCATAGTTGCCAACCGACCTTTTCTCAGATTCCTTTCTTGGGCGTTGTAAAAGGTGGGCTGCTCTTTTCCTGTGACGCAGGTTAAGAGCCTTGAGCTCTATTAGTGCCATGGAAACCTCGGAAGTGCAACCTGAACCCGTCACTGCTGAGGCTGAAAGGCCTGAAGATGACCAGGTATCCCCCAGGGCAGAGGCAGCGAGTGGGTCTGACAATCCTAATCCTTTCTGGAGCGACCGCGCTATTGAGGAGTTTAGGATCCGACAGGCAAGGCCGCTTGGGCTAGCTGAATATGACGAGGAGCAAAGGGAGCCTGAATATTTTGGGTCGGAGACTGGACGTAGCATGGGTTTTGCCTCGGCCACAGGGTTGAGCGCACGAGCGTCGAGCCCCTTACCTGCCAGGGGAAGTGAGACTTCTTCTGATTCCAGGAGGTCGAATGCGATGTCGAATGCACCGTCTATGACTTCAAGATCGAGGTCTATCAGGGAACTACTGGTGTCACTTGGTAGTGCTGTTCCTGGTTTGGCAGAGGAGCAGAGACAAACTCGTCAGAGGCTTTCAGTGGTTGAAGAAATTAGGTCAGGTAGCACTTCGTCCATGAGGACTGGCAGAGAGGGCGGGGAGCCGGATAGTGGGAATGTTGCTATAGAGGATCTTGGAGTAGGCCCTCAGATGTTTCAGATTGGGGATACTGATCTGGATGAGCCTCGAGACTTGGGTTCGGGGTTGTTCGCTCTGGAAGATTGGGTTCAGGCCCCCATGAGACTGGAAGATATCCCCCGAGAAATGACTTTGGTTGGTCCGGTAGGGGTTCCTGAGTCCTTTCATCCTTCCAATCGCGAGATCCCTGCACAGGTGCCAGGTATAAGTTCTGCCAATCGTGAGGTCCTTGCACAGGTGCCAGGCAAAGGTTATGCCAATCGCGAGGTCCGAGCACAGGTGCCAGGCATAGGTTCTGCCAATCGCGAGGTCCGTGCACAGGTGCCAGGCATAGGTTCAGCCAATCGCGAGGTTCATGCACAGGTGCCAGGTTTAGGCTCAGCCAATCGCGAGGTTCATGCACAGGTGCCAGGCATAGGCTCTGCCAATCGTGAGGTCCGTGCACACGTGCCAGGCATAGGTTCTGCCAATCGCGAGGTCCATGCACAGGTGCCAGGCATAGGTTCTGCCAATCGCGAGGTCCACGCACAGGTGCCAGGCATAGGTTCGGCCTACCTCGAAGCATCGGCACAGGTGTCAGGCAGAGGTTCGGCCTAGCGTAATGCTTCCGCACATGGGCAAGGCATTGGATCAGTCCGTTACGAGAGCATGACGCCTGGAGCCAAGATAAATGAGATTGCATACCCGGAGGGGTTTAAGCCATATGGCCTCGAGTCTTGGTAGCCAGGCAACTGCAGCCCAAGCCTGGAGCGTGTGTGTCAGGAAGTGTTGACCTTCCGCTGCATGTTCAGGCCAGGGAATCTGTGAACCCCCATCTGTTAGGTCTCGACCAGGGACTGGGAGGGCCAGGTCAGCCTTGCGAGGTCAGGTGCGATCCAAGGGAGCAGGCAAATGGCGCCTTGAGGATGGGACAGGTGTGGATGGTTTTCCACGCACGGCGAGGGTAGGTTTCAGGGGCCTTGAAGTAGTGGATTCTGGAGCGAATCCATTCGGAGGATCAAGGAATCATCCGTTTGTGCTGGCGTCACCGCAGCCTCCTCCACCATCTCCAGGTATAGCCCGAGCCCGCCGATCAGGTTTTCCCCGATAACCCCGAATGGCACCAGAATCCCTAAAGGACCGCCTCCCAGTGATTGCATGGAGTGGCCGGAATGGAGTAAGCCTGTAGGGGTAATGGGAACTATGATAGGGGCAGATGAGGGGACTGGATTACCCAGCTCTCGCCAGTCATAGGCACAATGTCCGCAACTTCGAGTGTGTGGTGGGCAGATGTCCTTCATGAAGCCTATCAGTTGTACGCTAGATGGCTTGCCGCAGATCCTGTGCAAAGGTTGAGCATAAAGGCGGAGGCCTCTGGAAGTTTAAGTCCCTCCACGCGGCGCGTGTTAATCGAGCAGAGGTTGACAGTGTTGTTGATGCGTGCAGTCCCTGCCGAGATTCGAGCCGAGCTTGTTGCGGTGCGGGCGATGAGCTCGCTGGCGGTGATAGTGGCGGTCCTGCGTCGCTATCAACCTGGAGGTCCCAATGAGAGAGCCACCGTTCTTGCCTTTCTCGTGGCTCCAGAGCGTCCCACAAGCATCGAGGCCGGAATTGCCACTTGCCGACGTTGGTTGAGACAGCTTCAGAGGGCAAAGGAGCTGGGGCTTATGTTGCCCGATGCTACGTTGCTGATCAAGGGAGCGGACTCGTTACTGGGGCCTGTGCTCACCAAAAGCCAACAGGCTTCCTTTCGGTTGAACTCGTTCCGCAACGAGAAGAAGCTTGATTATGCTCCGGCCTTCGACTCAATTGTGGCGTTTGGACAATTGATTCTTGCAGAGTACGAGTTGCTGCAGCATAGCGAGCCGGGAGAACCCAAGAAGCCTAAGGTGAACAAACTTCAGGAAGGCGAGGAGGAAGGTCAGCCGAAAGGGGGCAAGGGTAAGACTGGCAAAGGCGGATCCTCTTCGCAGTCGAGTGGGGCAAAAGGGGGAAAGGGCGCCTCGAACCCGGGGTCTGCAGCTGCGACGGGCAAGGAATCGGGCAAGACTCCATGTAAGTATTGGTGCATAACAGATATGGGGTGCATGAAGGCTGCTCGCTGCCCTGACTTCCACAGCAAGGAGTTACTCAAAGGCACCAGTCGCTGCTGGGTCTGCTCCTCCACACAGCATCGTAAGCAGGATTGTCCTAGACTGCATAAGGAGGGTTCAGCTGAACAAGCCGCAAAACCTAAGGCTGAGCCAAAGGTGAAGGTTACAAAGGAGGAGGCAGCCCCGCCGTCCCTTGCACCTAGTGCCCAGCAGATCCTCAACGATACAGCGGCCCTACTTAAGAACCTTAGGGTGAGTAACGTAGGTAGTGGCCAAGGAACCGCTAGGGCATTGTTAGACTCCGGAGCCACCGCCTGCATGCGTACGGCCTCCTCTCAGGAGCTTCGTGGTTTGCCCCAACGCACGGTGCAGCTTGCACAAGGGCAGGTGAGCCTACGTGTCAATGCCGGAGGCACCTTGTTGACTGCAGAGGATGTGGATCTCTCCATAAGTTATGCCAGATAGGGTATAGGGTAAACTGGTCCCGAGATGGAGGTTGTAATGTCAAGGCCCCAGGTAGGCCGGCCTTGAGAGTGTATGTCGACGGAGGATGCCCCGAAGTCGACCGGCATACCGGATTGAGTCTCATCCGAGAGATCGAAGAATTTCATGAGACGAAGGCTCAAGCGGTGAAATCCTTGCGGTCGATCCCACCCTGGCCATGCAGTGGTTAGCAAAAAGGTTTCCATCCTCGCCAATTGAGGTGCTGGCTAGGATTCCAGTAGCAGCAAGCTACGACGCTGATAGGGTGGCTTGGAACCGAAGACAGCGCAGATCGTGGCTTCGATCACAAGCCCTAGCCCTCCACTTGTTTTCGGGGCCGGATAAGATCTTCCTCGGTCTGACGCGCGTTGCATCAATGTTGACATCCAGGAGAATATCCTGGACGACCAAACATATGCCTTTCTGCAATCCCTTGCATTAACAGGCAAGGTGGCTGCAGTGTTTGGAGGGCCACCTTGTCGGACCTTTTCGCTTGCAAGGTACATGCCTCCAGGACTGCCAAGGCCTCTTCGAGGGCGCTCACGGGAGACTCAGTGGGGGTTCGACTACTTGACCCCGAGTGAAAGCGAAGCCGTCCACACAGATGGGGTCCTGCTGTTCCGAATGGTCTGGCTCTACCTGATTGCTGAGGCAGTGGCTGAAGAGCTTAATCTCCCTAAGCCGTTTATGGGTTTAGAACAGCCCAAGGATCCCGAATTGTGTGTTAGGCCGCAGGAGATGGGGTTAGCTCCTCCGCCAGAGGGCTTTGCATCGTGTTGGGCCATGGATGCCATCAAGGATCTCATTCGAGAGAAAGAGTTTTATATGTGGCATCTGGATCAGGGGCCGTTGGGACATGAGAAACGTAAGCCTACGACTATCATGTCTAGCACTCCTCCTCCTCCAGACGTTCTAGTCACTGGCCCAGGTCATGGCATGGCTGCCCCACCTCCCCGTGAGGGAAGTACCTTAGATAGTCCTTGGCCGTCGGCTGCGTGGTCAGCTTGGGCACCCGGCCTTAAGGCCATCTTAAAACGGGAAGTCCTGTCTGCAGTGGATTCCTGGACTTCCGTTCGATGCCGAGCGTTGAGAGATCAGGAGAATTTCCTTAGGCATGTGGTTCAGGGTCATGTCGATTTTCGAAGGGACTGTGCTGCTTGCTTGGCAGGAGCCGCCAGGGGAGCCAGGCATGATCGGAGGTCGGTGCATGATGCGTGGGTACTGCACGTTGATTTGATGGGTCCGTTTGCCGGAGGGGCAGACGAGCATGGCAAGGTTCGCTATGTGTTGACAGGGGTACTGA